AACATTTGTTGCTTCGTTTAACTAGAAAGAGGATGAGAATTTGAGCTTATAAAATACGATTTTCTGTCTTGACTATGGGGGGCAGTGTAATACTTGTTGAGTAGCAATAGCTTCGACTTCTTTGGATTAAGGTTTCGATCACCTTTGCAGAGGATAAAACGATGCACCCACTAAAGCCTAAAGCTTTTCCAAAAGGAATTGTCAGGATTTCAGGGCTAAAATCTTTGAAATTCCAGTGATCCATGGCGCCTAAGCCAGATTCTCCAAGTACTCCAAATCCATGGGCATCATCAACCATGAAAGGAATAGAATGCTGAGCACAAAAGGTGCTGATTTTTTCTAAGGGAGCGATATCTCCTTGCATACTGTAAATTGATTCGGTGATGACGAGGTGAGGTTTGTATTTCTGTATAAGATTAGTGAAATGATCGATGTCATTGTGGGCAAATCGGATAAGCTTTGCTCCACTGAGTCGAATGCCATCAACAACAGAAGCATGGATAAATCGATCCGCTAAAACAATGGATTTAGATTCTAAAAGGGTGCTTAAAATTCCGATATTGGCTTGATATCCAGAAGGATAGATGAGGGCTTTCTCAAACCCTAGCTTTTCACAGAAAAGATCCTCTATGTTTTGATGATGTTGAGAATACCCACTGAGTAAAGGGGAACCTCCACTTCCCATTTTGATATTCTCTAAAGATTCTTTCAGGGATTGAAAGATTTTAGGATGATTTGACAGAGCAAAATAATCATTTGAAGAAAAGTCTATGTGAGAGGGATCAGAGTCGTTATACACAACTCTTTTTCGCCATAAATCTTTTGAATTACTCTTTAAGTTTAACATGCGATTTTTTCCGCCTTTAGGCCAAGGGTGCTTAAAAGGGTTTGGTCCTCTTCAAAAGATTGGTTTTCAGCAGTGAGGAGTGTGTCGCCGACAAAAATAGAGTTTGCGCCGGCGTAAAAACAAAATGCTTGTTCGACCTGAGAGAGTTCTTTCCTTCCTCCCGACAAGCGGACTTTTGACGTTGGAAATAGAATGCGTGTTACCGCAATTGTTTTGATAAATTCAATTTTATCTAATGGATCTAATGACTCTAAAGGCGTATTCGGAAAATGAATCATTCCATTAATCGGGATACTTTGAGGGGGAGATTTCAATTGTGAAAGTTCGAAAAGGAAATGAATGCGATCTGTTCTTGTTTCCCCTAAACCGACGATCCCCCCACAGCATGTTTTTAAACCAGATGTTTCTAAGTTTTGCAGTGTTTGAAGGCGGTCTTCAAAAGTATGTGTCGAGACAATTTTAGGGTAAAATTCTCGGCTGCTTTCGATGTTATGATTGTAATAATCAAGCCCAGCTTCTTTAAGTTTGCGCGCTTGATCAGGCGTTAAGAATCCAGCGGTTAGGCAGGCTTCTAATCCTCCTTGTTTGATGATTTTAATCAGTTTTTCAATTTTAGGCAGGTCATGTTTTGGAAGCTTTCGCCAAGCCCCCCCTAAACAGCATCTCTTAACGCCCATTTTTTTAAATTGTATACTTTTTCTTTAATTATTTCAGGATCTAAAAGAGATGTTTTTTCAAGATTTGTTTTAAAATGGGCACTTTGGTTGCAGAAAGTACAATTTTCTGGACATCCTCCGGTCTTAATATTGATCAAAGAACACATTTCAATGTTTTCTTTTGGGAAGTTTTTTTTGAAAACTTTTCGAGCTTTTTCCAGAACTTGAAAGAAAGGTTCCTCAAAAAGGTTTGTGATTTTTTCAATAGTCCATTTTGTCATGTGAAAAAACCTAAAGAGAATTGACTTGTTTAAATCTTTATGAAAAATGATTTCATATGTCAACCAATCAAAAATTACAGGTTAACAATGTTTGAATCTTCTTATAAATGGCATCCTTGTTGTGATTTAAAAGTACAGTCGAAATCTAGGTTTCCTTATGCGGAAAAGACTTCTGGGGTTTACATTTATGATGAAACAGGTCGTCGAATTTTAGATGGTATTTCAAGCTGGTGGTGTAAAGCATTGGGGCACCGCCATCCCAAACTTTTGGAAGCGTTTTGGAAACAATCGCAAAAGTTTGAGCACATCATTACATCTGATTTTTCTTTTGAAACTTTAGAAAAACTCTCAGAAAAATTAAAAGACCTTGTCCCTGGATCTGTTAAGGTTTTTTATGGTGGAGACGGTGCAAGTGCCGTTGAAATCAGCCTCAAAATGAGTCTTCATAGCCACTACAATCGTGGCGAATCACATCGCACGATGATTGCGACTTTGGAAAATAGCTATCATGGAGAAACTTGTGGTGCTTTAAGCGTGTCTCATACGCCGCTTTTTCAGGAAATTTATAGCCCCCTTTGTTTCGAAAGTTTTGTCTTAAAAGGTGTTCCTTATGTTTCCAGTATAGAAGATCCTTTATGGGAAGATTGCTCTAAGGCCTGGTCAAAAATTGAAGAACAGCTTGAGCCGATAAAAAGCAAATTATCCGCTTTGGTTATTGAGCCTTTGATCCAAGGAGCGGGTGGGATGAAGCTCTATAGCAAAGATTTTCTAAAGCGATTGAGAATATGGACGCGTGAAAATGGGATTCACTTGATTGCTGATGAAATTATGACAGGATTAGGCCGTACAGGGAAAATTCTGGCCTGTGATTATGCAGAAATATCTGCGGATTTATTTGTCTTGGGAAGGGATTGACGTCTGGCTGGGTTCCTTTTAGCGCGGTTATCGTTTCACAAGAAGTTGTCGATTCTTTTGAAAGTGCTAAAGAGGGATCCCTTCCCTTTTTACATTCTCATACCTATAGCGGCAATGCTTTAGGGGCGACTTTGGCCTTAAAAACTTTGGAAATATTGGAAAAAGACTTTTCTTGGGAAAGCTTTAAAGAAAAAATCTTATTTTTTTCTCAGTGTATGAAGGATTTGAAAGCAGAGTTTAATTGTTTAGAAAATGAGCGCTCTTTGGGAATGATTGGGGCTTTTGAGGTAAAGAGCTCTCAACAGGGTGAGTTTTTAAAAAGGAGCGCTTTTGAGAAAGGGCTTTTATTGCGCCCTATCGGGAAGACTCTTTATTGGATGCCTCCTTTGACGATTGCAAAAGAAGAAATCATTGAAATGAAAGAGACTACAGCCTTATGCCTTCAAGAAATTATATAGCTGATTCTTTATAATTTTGTTATGTGTTGCTCGTTGTGTATGTCTAATACACTTCACTCCTTCGCACCTGTAACAAAATTAAATGTTTTCAGCTAAGGGACGCCTAGAGGCAGAGTATCAGCCAATTTTACTTCTTTTGGCGTCTTGAGAAAAGAGCCTTTGAGACGGAGCATAACGCTAAATATAGGGGTGTGGAAAAAGCTCTTTCATGGATGGAATAATCACTTCGCGATTATTTTTTCCTTCAAAAAAGAAAAGTGTTTCAGGTCGTGTAAAAAAGCTAAGAGATTGGCGGCAAATTCCCAAGGTGCGCTGGAGCCTTCTTGGTTGTTCACAACATAAATCTTTTGGATTAAGTTTGATTTACTAAGGCCCTGGTCAATGAGAGCTTTTGAAAGGGCAACACGTTCAGCGCATAAAGTGAGACCATTTGCCATCTTGATATTGGCGCCAGTGACGATTGTCCCGTCATCCAACAAAAGAACAACGCCTACTTTATAAGCGGTGCGCCACCCTGGTATAAAGGCTTTTTCTTTTTGTGTATGGGCAAGGCGTATCAGGGCCCCATCTGCTGTTGTAACCATGTGTGAATTTGCCTGGTTTTCAAATATCAAAAAAAGAAAACAAGCAATTGAAAACATACGAAAAAAAGCTTTAAATCCGTTTAAAAACACAAAAGAAAACCTCCCAAATTTGATTTTTTTTGACAAATATTATAAATTTACTCTTAGGATTCGCATGAACTAAGAGCTTTTTTATTATGACTTTTCAGCGAATCTTTTTTCTCTCAAGTTTGCGGAAAGTGCAACCTAATTTTTTAGGTTTGTGTGCAATTTTTTTGTGGTCGACAGGGGGAGTGACAATTTCTTTTTTGAAATCTCTTCCTCCTTTTGAAGTTTTGTTTCTTTCTTCACTTTTAATTTTTCTTTTGACTCTTCCTTGGGTTGTATCTTCCATAAGAAAGAGCGCTCCTGATTTTTCTTTTAAAAATTGCTTCCTTGTTTTTGTGGGGCCGCCATTACAACAAATTCTTTATGTTTTTGCGTATCAATTTGCGCCTGCTTTGGCCAATACTTTCTCTGCTTTTAATGGCGTTGTTTTTAGAGCTCTCTCTTCGCTTGCGCCATATTATAGCAAGCTTTTTTGGGTTTGGAGCGATTCTCCTCCTGGCTTACAAAGGGGAAGCGCCTATAGAGCTTTCTATAGGTCATCTTTTAGCTTTTATTTCGGCTTTGTTATGGAGCATTTATAGTCTTTTGCTTCAAAAGGGATTGAAAGTAAACTTTCCGACGATGGGTATGGCCTTTGGGATGGGGGCTTTTGTCACATGTCCTCTTCATCTTTATTTAGAGTCTTTTCAGTTTCCTACGATTCATCAATGTACGGTCTTTTTGTATTATACAATTGTTTTGTCATTGTTTTCTTTTTGGTTGTGGGCAAAAGCGCTTGAAAAAGGAAATGGCATATTTTTAACGGCCAGTGCTTACAGTAAACCTGTCGTCTCTATTCTGTTTCTGATTTTATTTGGATACGCGACCTATTCTAACGTGCTTGTTTCTGCCCTGTGTTTGATTTTACTTTCTTGCTTTCTCTCCAATGATTCTATGATTTTTTTGTTTAGGAAGGTCCTATGGAGAGCTTATATCAAAGTGTTTAAGCGCAAACAAAATCCTCAAATCGTTTTTAAAGACTTCTAATTAGTGCCTTAATCTACTGATTTTTCGAGAAATATTTAACTTTTGAAGCGCTAATTTCTATAAACTCTAAATTGGGAAGCTTTTGTAATTTGGAAAAAATTAATTCTTCAGTTTCTTCTTTGATACCATTCCCTGCGAGCCAAAGTGTTCTAAGATTTTTCATTTTAGAAAGTGTTAGGATAAGAGCTTTGATCCCACCATCACTTAGGCGGTTATTCCCTAAATATAGCCGTTCTAATCCTTCCAAATTTTCAAGCGTATTTATGAGGAAATTTGCTCCTTTTTTGCCAAAGTTATTACTGTCAAGCATGAGCATTTGAAGATTCTTCAGTTTTGAAATCTCTGATGCGAGACTTTTAAGGCCCTTCAAAGAAATTATTGTTTCTTGAAAGATGAAGATTTGTGAGTTTAGGAAAATTTGAAAGAATGCTTGCAATATATTTTGCCCCTTTGGAGCCAAAGTTATTGTCACTGAGATAGAGCTTTTTCAAATTATGAAGATTTTTAAGGGAGGGTATCAACTCTTTTATCCCTGAAGGGCCAAAGCCATTATAATCCAAAGAAAGTTCTTCTAACGTTGTTAGTTTTTTTAAAGCAACAGCGAGATGTTTTGCTCCTTGGGGGGCCAATTTATAATTGCTCCAAATCCATAGCGTTTTTAATTGAGAGAGTTTTTTGATTTGCGGAGCAAAAATCTTCATGCGTGTCGGCCCCATATGATCATCTGATAAGATGAGTTCTGTGAGGCACTTCATTTTGCCAATCTTATTTGCAAGAGATTTTGTACTATCAAGATCAATACCATTTAAATTAAGGCTTAGTTTTTTCAGGTGTTGAAATTCTGAAAGAGTATTTTTTAAGCTTCGTATGCTCTCAGGGGTTGAAACAAGAAAAGCAAGGTTGTTAGCGTTTGGAATTTTTTTTGCTAGCTCTTGCAAACATTTGTTACTGGGTTCTGATAAACGTATCGCGTGAGGTTTAGAAAATTCTGAAAAAGGTGAGTTAAGTTTTTCAAGGCAATTCTTCTCGTTTGACAGATACCATGTGACTTTTTTTGAGGTTGGCGTTTCTTTATTCAAAAAGCCCATAGAGATAAAAAAACACTAGCAACCAGGGCAATAAGCAGAAATATAAAATATTTTTTAGAATCTAGTTTCATATTCTAACCTTTGAAAACATTCTTAGAGCATTTCCTTTAACGTGAAGGAGGGGATTTAGAAGTTAGCCTAAATCATTTTCTTCATTGTTAAAACATCAAGGGTAAGTTCAAAGAGCCAGAGTAATAAAGAACACCAACACTTATAGTGTAAGTTTCTCATAAAGAACATAAACTTACGTTAAGCGTTGGTGGGCTGAACTTTCTTCTTAGTATTTCTATTTTAGAAAAAAGCCTACGATGATTTTAAGCTTAAGCAGCCTTTTTCTTCAAAACTTTCTCAATTTTAACAGAAGCTTGCTCTGGAGTTGTGACTTCAACTGCAGCCAGCTCTTTTGAAAGGCGGTTAAGGGCCGCTTGATATAATTGGCGTTCACTATAAGACTGTTCAGATTGGTCTGCACTGCGGTGTAAGTCGCGCACAACCTCTGCACCAGGGCTTCCAGAATTAATTTTGGCTTCATATTCTTGGGCACGTCGAGACCACATTGTACGGCGCACACGTCCTTGCATTTTAAGGGTTTTTAAGGCGCTATCCATTTCCTTTTTTGTGCTTAAAGAACGAAGACCTGCAGTTAAAGCTTTCGCAACGGGAAGGCGCAATGTCATACGGTCTTCATCAAACTTAATCACAAACATATCTAAAGACTGTCCTGCAACTTCATGTGATTCAATGGCGCTAACATGCCCAACACCATGGGCCGGGTATACAACAAGATCTCCGGATTGAAACGCTGGTTTTTTCATGAATCTACTCCTTACGTTATGGGCGCAGCCAAGGGCTTAACCAACATTTTAAAGCTGGTAAATTCCCTCCTCAAATTTCTATTAATTAAGATCAAGATAATCTTTAATTGGTACCTATATAGTTACCATTTTTTAACCTTCAAGGGTAGAGGGTCAAAAATTTTTTTCTCTAAGAGATGAAATTAAGGACAAAATTATTTTTGCAAGTACTTTTTGCAAAAAAAGAAAATGCCTTTTAAAGCAAAGAGTTGTGAAGCTTGTGATTTGAAAGAGTGTCTAAAGGTAAATGTTATTTGACTTTTGATAAACAAAATTTTCATCCCAATTTGGCATAATTGTTTTCAGGAAAAAATGATGAGAGGAAATAATGAATACTTCTTCTGTTTTTTTTGAAGAGATTTTTCAAGAAACAATGTTTCTTATCGAAGAAACACGCGCTTATATTCAACTGCGTGCCGAAGAGGACGTTCAAAAAGTTTCCCCGGGGAAGGGCTTTATTATAGTTGTGAAATTTCACGTGTTACAACACGCTTAACAAACATTATGTCTTGGCTTTTGATGCAAAAAGCTTTAGTTGCGGGAGAATTGACGCCAGAAGAACCGTCTCTTCAATCCTTTGTCTTTCAAAAAGACCCTGTTTGTTTACAAGACAGCATTCAAGAAAACCAGGTTAAGGTACCTGCTCCCTTAAAGTGGCTTCTAAAAAAAAGCTTAAGTCTCTACAAGCGTGCTGCACATCTTGCTGATTTAGAGGCAAAGAGCTTGAAAACTATTCTAGCCCAAGATCCTGAAAACGATTTCGAAACTTGGTAAGCTGTCCGCTGCTTTCAATTAAGCGATGCGCCCCTTGCTTCCAAGCAGGATGTGTATGGGGATCAACGTCCAATTTTAAAGTCTCACTTGCTTTACCATAAGTAGAGCGTGTTTTGATTTTAGTGCCATCAGTCATAACAACTGTAATATCATGATAATCAGGATGAATATCTTTTTTCATCAGGATAGCCTTTATTCATTTCTAGAAACGTTGCTCACCTTATACGCAACAGATCATTTTTTTGCAAGAGGT